ATATATATAAATGTGATATTAGACCTTCGTCGTCTTCCCCATCGACGTTCCAATACGGTAAATATGATTCCGGTGGAGATAGTTATCACAACAAAAGGAAATAGGTCATCAGCCGATCTCCGAGATGTGGTCCCGGAAGAACGCTCTAACGATCAAGTCAATCTTTGGGAGAGATGAGTATGATAGTAGTGTAAGGCTTAGAGAGTTGGGATGGTGATCCCTTTACCGTTGAAGACATGTGGTATTTTATAGTAAGGTCCTGGGCACGGATCCTACTCGTGGAGACAAGATTGTCAGACCCCGATCGGGACAGAGGCACTGATTGGTAGATCATACATTTTTCCACTGTCAAGGCTGTGATTGGCTTAGACATGGTAGTCGTACGTATACCTCCATTGGAGTTAACAGCTTTCGGTTTGTCGATTGTTGACTTTCCTGCGCATCTTCCATACTGACCCTTGGACATCAGGGGATAGTCTGATGCGGGATGGAAATGGATTGGAGCGACCTGGCCATATGGATTGACTAGTTATGTGGTTAGTGCCTTTGGTGCCTAGAAGGCACGCTATCAAGCCTCCTTAGTCTTATCCATTGTGGCATAAGCTTACTTAGTTGCAACGGATGGGACTAGCCTGAAATGACGTGTTTCTCTATGTTGGTTCCTGTCTTTCCGACTACACATCGAAGCGGTTTCCCAGGTGTGACGTTAACGATCATTATTTAGGTCTTTCGATTTTTCCGCTCGACGTTTCCCCTTATAACTTCTATCGTTCCCTTTTATTTTCTTCCTCAATGTTTCTCTTCGTTTTTTATTCCTTCTCGTACTTCTTTCTTCCTGCTATGGATTCTCCTATTAGTGTTGTTCTAACTACCGATCAATTCGCCGCTCTTCAACAATAGTATGGGTTCCATACGGAGGACGAAGTGATGTTCTCTGGTGAGAATGCTAGTTTCATCAATCCCCTGAGCGTAAGATTGGCATCTACATTAAACCTTTCGATGTTGGGTATCGTCATCCGACGTCCGAATTTTTCTGGGAGGTTGTTCATCATCATAAAGTTCATATTAACCAACTAGTGCCCAATGGAGTAAACAAGGTGGTTGCGTTCGAGATGTTGTGTTGTGCTTATGGAATCACCCCTAATCTGTGGGTATTTCTTCACTTCTTCCACTTCACATTGGCTTCCTCTAGAGAAATTTACACATTTTATGTTTGTAAGCATAGTCTTGCCCCCATGGCGGAGCAGAAGAATTCCCCCAAGAACTGTGCGAGCCGTTACTACTAGGTCAGCATCGATCGTAATTTTACATTATGGTGAAAGGTATTCAAATGTTCCTTTTTAGTCTTTGCCTATGCTCCACCCCTTTAGAAGGTAATGTGGAAGCTGCTTGTTGCAGGTGTTGAGAAAAGGGTTGACTTCCTTGATGTGTTGGCCAAGAAATGGGTTAGTAGTCTTCAGTATCGAGATGTGGATCTTGTGGATAGGGTTCTGCCTTCTTTTTATTTCTGTAACGAAGCCTTCATTGCTCAAGCTGTGGTCGTTCAAGATGTTGAATGGTTTTAAGTTGTTACACAACCTTCTCGGTCTGCTTCTAATTATCTTGTTAGTATGGATGGGACCGTAGAATCATCTGGAAAGAAGCTTGTGGAGGAGGAAATTGTGGAGGATAACAAAGAAAAGATTATTCCACCGGTACATAAATGCAAAGCAGCTTGGTAGAGTGTGAGTAATGTTTATGCTGAAGGTCTTGCCATTGAGTGGCGTTTATGTCCACGTCGGTTGGTTGGTGGTGTCCCCAAGGTGACGACTGTTCAGTCTGAGGTGATAGATATCTCTGATGAATTGAATGTAGAGAAAACTGTTGTTCCTGATTTAAAATTTCATGTGGATGATATTGTTGCTGATCGATCTGTTACTCCTGAGTTTTCTCATCGTGTGGAAGCGGTTGATGTGGATAATGCTGGTGGTGCGCAGTTTCTTGGGTTTGGACATGGTGGCGATGTGGTGGCTTTTAAGGACGGGGATCAAGGATCGAGTTATTTGGGTTTCTTTCCTTGTTGTTCATTGAAGGATGATTCTCGTTTGTCCATATTTAAACCAACAATTGGAATTACCAAAAACGTGTTCCCTTATAGGACTACTACGAAGATGGTTGCGTATTCATTGTCTGACTTTGTTAGGTCGCTTCCTTTTGTGCAGTCCAAAGTGCATGTTTTTTTTTTGCAGATAGTGCTAATCGGTTGGAGCTGTTCTTCGCGATTGATGAAGAGAAGAACCATTTGCGGAGGGAAATGCATACCCTTTCGTTCACAGTATGCTATGTTGCTATCTTTGCGATATAAGTTGTAGTACAACATATTCCTTTTGTTGCAGCCCAAAGTGCATGTTTTTTTGCAGATTGTGCTAATCGGCTGGAGCTATTCTTGGCGATTGATGAAGAGAATTAACAATTTGCGGAGGGAAATACATACCCTTTCGTTCACAGCATGCTATGTTGCTATCTTTGCGATATAAGTTGTAGTACAACATGGATCGCTTGGAAATGGATGTGTTGGAGGTGAAGAAAATTGATGAGGAGAAGGATGTTCTGAAAGAGAAGGTTGTGGGTCTTGAGCCTAACAAGGTTTCCCTTGGTGTTGTTGACCAGCTAAAGTAGGAAAATGAAGGTCTAAGTATTCAACTGGAAGAGAAGGATTTAGTGGAGAAAGATCGTCTTGTTAAGGAGAATTCTACTGTCATTGAGGGTTTGGAGGTGGATTTGGGTTGGGATATGAAGGAAGGTTTATTCGGTGTTGTTGATTAGGTTTTAGAAAACAAGGAGTTTGTTTGTGGTGTGAAACAACTTCCTGATGCTTATGTGGTGATGGGAAAGGCGTAAGGTGTTCGTGAAGTGAAGGAATTGGTACATGGTGGTGAGCTTTTATAGGATATTCTTGAGAGTAATATTGATTGTGAGGTGGTTGTGGGTGAAGTATTGGATGCGTTGGCGTGTTTGGATTATGTATCTGTACTAGGGTTGGGGGGCTGGATGTTAGTGGACTGAAACACCTAATGCATCTTGGTGGTGGTGCTAGCTCTTCGTGAAGCATATGTTTTCTTTATTTTGCTTATGTATTTTGTAAGTGAGACGCTAGGTTTTTTTGTGTTGTGATCTGGTTTAGCGGCTCTGAACATGTTGTTTTTGTTCCTTTGTTTTGTATGGATATGTGATCGTTTGGTTTCTCTTTTTCGTATTTGGTGTTGTATGTGTTCGGACATTGCCTAGTGCCCCTTGGTGAGTGAAAGCATTTTCTACTAGATTTCTATTTTATTTGGGATTGATTTTGCTGTGAAAAATGGTACGTTGTCCTATTTATTTATTTTGAGGCCAAGTCTTTTAGACAATAATTGATCGTCTTTGTGGTCCGATCATTTTGAATAAAAGAGGTTCAGGCATCGGCCTCCAAACTCTAGGTAGGTCAAAGCCAGGGGATTTGGAACCGTTTTTCCGTTTCGAATAATGTCAATGTCTTGGTCTCCATACTCTATGCAGTTCAAAGCCAGGGGCTTTGGAACCATTTTGCTATTTCTAATAAGGTCGAGGCATTGGCCTCTAGACATTAGGCAGGTCAAAGCCAAAGGCTTTGGAATCCTTTTTCGGTTTCGATTTTCGAATAAGGTCAAGGCATTGGCCTTCGGACTCTAGGCAGGTCAAAGCTAAGGGATTTGGAACTATTATGCCGTTTCGAATAAGGTCGAGGCATTCTCCTCCAGACTCTAGGTAGGTCAAAGCCAAGGGCTTTGGAACCCTTTTTCATGTTTATCATAACATGTGGTATTATAAATGTGCACTTTTAAAATTTGGAAAAAAAAAGAGTTTGTATCGGATGCATATCAGGAGGAGAGGGTGATTAGCCCTTCCTTTGGTACATGCTTTTGAGTAAAAAAGGAAACATAAGAAAAGAAATAAAAAGAAACAGTACACTACTGAACTTGTTGTCCTTCTAGAACTTCAGTTTTAGCAGTGAAAGCGCTCAAGTTATGGATGTTCCAGGTTCTTGGGATGGGTCTTCCCTTCATCGGTTCTAGGATGTATGATCCTTTCTGCATGCCTCTACGACTTTATAGGGACTTTCCCACGTTGGTCCTAGTTTGCCTGGTGTGGGTGTGGGTGTGTGTGTTTGTGGTAGTGGTGGTGGTGGTGGTGATGATGATGGTAGGTCGGTGTGGTAGTAGTGTTAGGTGGGTGGGTGGGTGT